CCAAAAACACAATCACGGTGCTTACTCTGGAGTAAGGCAGGCTTGTGTAGGGGCTTTAAACCAAAAAACCCAGCTTCACCTGCTAGAAGAGACCCCCCTCCCTCAAGACGGGGGACAGCCGACCCCAATCCTTGACCACCTCGCAAGCCCCCGCCAAACTTCGACGCGGGGCTTCCTCCCGAGTAAGCAGCCTGCCGGCCACATGGGCTGTCCGGGGACTCGCCCCGTAGAGATCAGCTCCCTTTGTCCAAAATGTCACCGATGTGTCAAAACGCTTTCGGGTCACCTCTCCCCCCCCCCCACCCCCCACCTTGTACGAAAGAGGAAATGATGCTCATCATCATACTGAGGGGGGGGGAGCCCGGTTTCGAGTCGTGGTGGTTTTTTCCCCCCTTAAAACACCCCTCCCCCCTCGGAACAAGAGAGAGAGTGAGAGCGAAGGAAGAGGTTCCGCCGGCGCCTGGGCTGTCCTTCGCGGCTCCTTCGGGTGCCTGCTTGGGGCTCTTTCTGAATCCCCGACTGCCGCTCGTCCGCCCGCTCGCCCGCTCCCTTCCTTCCTTCCTTGCAAGCTCCCAAGCGCTGGCAAGGCGAGGGCGCTCGGGGAAGGAGGGAGGGAGGGGGAGCGAATGGGGCGCGGGCGAGCCAATGAGCGGAGACCGGATGCGATATATCCTCTGGGACAACAACAGCTCTGTTCCTCCTCAGATCCACATGACGCCATTTACTGCTGCTTTAGCGGGGAGATCACCCGGCCTCCTCCGGAAAGAAGAAAAGAGAGAGAGAGGGAGAGGAGGAGGAGGCGGAGGGGGGGGAGAAGGAGGAGGGAGAGAGAGAGGGGAGGGCAGCTGGAGGCGAGCGAGCAGAAAAACGCTGAAGCTCGCCCAGCACGGATCTCAAAACCTGCCTTCCTGCAAACATATCACCAGCGACAGCAGCGGCGGCAGCGCGCTCCAACCTTGCGGATATTTCGCCTTCCTTTTTCTTTCTCCCCCCCCCTTTCAAAAAAAGACAACAACCGCGTCTTCTGTCCCACACACACACACACACGCCCCCCAACACTTTGCAACTCTCCTCCAGCTGCCTTGAAGAAACACGCGCGCTCACGTCCAACACACATTCCCCGAGGAAGCGAGCGAGCGAGCGAGGCAGACGCCGCGACCACTTTTTTCTTTTTCCAAAGCAAACCAAAAATACAGATTATTTCTCATACAAACGGCTTTCAAGAGAACCGGGAGCTCGGACGCCCAAAACGCCGCGCTTTGCTGGATCGACCGACCCACCGAAACTCTGCAAAGCCACCTTGGGATCGTATTTTTTTTCC